CAGAATGGGAGCCAAATCAACCTGTTTGTGGTAAGCATCCAACGTCAGGTGTTTTGTTATGGCAACAGAAAGTAGGCAAATCGCACCCCTGGGTGGTACCTTCCTGGATGCCGGGCCTCCGAGGCCCTGACCAGCTGCTGTCCTGGGCTGCAGGCACTCTGCTTTCCATCCTGCAACATCATGGCCAGGTTAATCCCTCGTGTTTCAACTTCATAAATATTGAATAAGGGAGTTATCATTCCAAATCCAGCCAGCATGCCTGTGACTCAGCTGTTCCCTGCAGCCCCTGGGACTCCAGGTTCTCCGTAAGCGAACGATGACCTCCTTGTTTTCAAACACATCCATGTTTCTCCAGTGTCTGCCATGAGTATGTCCTCTCTCCTTTGATGTGAAGACTGTTGCTCTCCCCGCCCGTCTGGACCCTGCTCATCCTCAGGCCTTCCTGAAAGCCTCTCACTGACCCGAGCCCTCTGTCAGGACTCTCCTGTTGCACCTTCTCGGGGTAGGGTTGCTGGACTTGTGGGTGTCCGGCTGCCGAGGGGACGACATAAGTTTTTATGTGGGGAGATGGGCTTTATCTCCAATAGACCATGTGCTCTGAGCTTACAGATCTGCAGTGTGAGACTCACCTAGTAAATACTCACATCCCTATGGGGCTTTGGTGGAATTTGGGAGACTGAAGTTAATTTGAATTTAAAGGGCAGACCTCCAAGCCGGGTTCAAGCTTCAGAATTCTAACAGGATTTGCACATTATTTCAGGGTCATAAGAGTAGACTGGACAAGGAGATGATATGACAGCTGCATCGAGGTAGAAAAACCCAGGTTAAAGTAGGAAAACTTGTAGCGGAGGCACAATAATGAACGCTAGTGTTTGCCAGAGAACTTTAAAGAGCCTGAGTGACGCAGCTCCCAGACTGCAAAGTGGGGTCCGTCACCCCTTTCCAATGTTCTTTTCTGACTACTTGGGTTAGAAGAGTGGCTAAGAAGGATAGCAGCTCCTTTCTCATGCTTCTGATTCCAAACGCCTGTCTGGCTCCCATGTACTGTCCTCTCCAGTGCTCCTCTGCGCATTTCCAGGGGGTTCTGAAGTCACCTTTTTAATTTCAGTAGGATCGCATGGCTGTCTGCCCCATGCCAAGGGTGGCCTGAGGTCACACAATAGCTCTGGCCCCAAACAGTGATGACCCTTCAGTTCGGGGCTGCTGACTGGCCAGCCGTGGGCTGCAGGCACACAAAAGAAGCTGCACCCACAGCACTCGCCACGGCTGCTGCTGAGCTGTGCGTTCGCTGCTGCATTGTTTCCTGTAAGGCCCAGCCAGCGCTTTCTTCTGCCACATCAGCCAGGCTGGTGGGCTTCTCCCCACGGCCCTCCTGGCAGTCTGAACAGGAAGCGGTAACATGTGCTTGGAGGCAGCTTTTAAGACCCTTGTGAGAAGGCAGAAGGGCGAGGGAGCTCAGCTGTGTGTGCTGGCTTCCGAGGGCTTCTTAGCGAGCTTAGCCTGAACTGGGTGCTTTTGCTTTGGGCTGGAAAAGACCTCCGAGCCACCCTGTTCCCCTGGAGGGATTTGGATGTCCTTTCACCATCAGAGTGAAGGTGAGTAGCAGTGGAAATGGGCATCTTGTCTTCCCTGGAGCTGTAAACAGTGGCTACACATCCACACTGGTGTGTGGGAGAAACCTCGTTCCGGAACCTCACGTGCCGCACTGAGAACAAGTGTGGGTTGTTGGCTCCATGACGGGTTCTTTATCATTTTTCAGAAAACATGCAGCCTCACTGAGGTCCACTTGGAACAGTGGAAAAAAATATAGGAAAATCAGGTGACTGTATACAGTTGTCGGGGGAATCACATGACTTACAGCTTTGGATGTTAGCAGCAGTGACACGGGGTTCTGGACCTCGGCTCACTGCAGATGTGGGCACCTTTGGTGCACTTGGATGCCAGAAAAGTGGATCTCGGGCAGGGAGTGTGGTGAGCAGCTCAGGCTCCTGGACTCGGGCCAGGGTTCACAGGGGAGCTAGTGTGACACTGAGCCCAACTCTCTGGAGATAGGGGCTGAATTTGCCCAGAATTGCTTGGGTCCTGAAGATCGCTCATCTCTTTGTTCCCTTCCTGGAGGCTGCTGGGGTAGAAACTGCAGATTCTTTTCAGTTGGGAATTTCCCTAGAATTCTTAAATACAGATGCCGCCTTAACCCCTGCCAGTAAGAATTTGGTTACCTCACTTCGAGCGTCTAGGCCTTTTAACATGATCTGTGGAGGAGGCAGAGAGCCCCTTGCTTTTGGCCTTTAAAGCATGGTCATTGGCCCCAATGAGCACCATGGAAAGGCGGAAAGGAAGTGGCCCCTGAATGGAAGTGGTTTTGCAAGGGTTAGGCAGGTGCCGCCATCAGAAACCCATGTTCCCTGCCATCTTTTCCAGCTTCCTCCAGGGCATCCACTCCCCAGAGCCCACCTGAAGGGGACACTGCCTATGCCCATCTACCCCTTGAGCAGAAGGTGAAGCACACTGACGCCCTGTCCATCACCTCCACGACTGACACGTGCCTCAAACTCAGTTTCATGTGAAACTCACACTCTTTCTGTGTGCACCCTCTTTTCTCTTCTTTTTCTTTCCTTTTCTTCCTTCCTCCTCCTCCTCTCCCCCCACCCTGTGGCTCCCTAAGTAGTGCCTTCCATTTTAAAATCTGTGCTTCAAGGTGCAGGTGGCGAACTTATGGCATTTGTGCCCAGTGGGAACACCGAGCCCTCTCTCCATCTGCACAGGAGCCAAGTGGCCCTGGCATCTGAGCAACAGATGCAAGGTGTTTTTTTTTCCTAACTAAAACCTCAGTATTCAGGTTTAATTGCACTGTTGGCACTTTGCATTACATACTCGGGTTTGGGGTGGCAGTGTGGGTACTCGGTCTCTAAAAGGTTTGCTGTTGCTGCTCTAGGGGATAAAGTGCTGCCTGCGCGGAGGAGCTCTGCTTGGGCCTCCTCATTTCTAACACCAGGATTTTGCGGTTTTCACCCTGGGTGAGAATGGTCATGGGGAACGGGAAATGCAGCAGGGTCAGAAGGCCATAGGTGTGGACAGAGGCATCCCAGCGGGAGCCAGGTTCATTCTGTAGGGCGCGGGGTACACGCAGTTGGTTTTATGTGTGGTCAGTGGTGGGGAGACTGGAGAGGAAGTCTCTGTCCTGGGCTTGTGATGTTGGCCCTCTGTGACCCTGAAGACATCACTTTCTTCTGCCGAGTGTAGTCAAAGCCCAGGGGACAGATGCACCTTGAGAGACAGCACCTACTTTAAGGCAAGGAGGTGTCTGTGGTGAACGCAAGGGACAGAATCCTTGAGGACATGAGTGGCGCTGTCTCCTGGTAGGGAAAGGTCACTCCGTGCAGGCATGGTTCTTGATATCAGCGTTTGATAAACACCTATTGGGTGTCAGATGCTGATGGGTGCTGAGACAGGGTGTCTACAACATCGTACTGAGAATGTCTCAGTACAGGGAGCAGAGAGGGGCTGTGCGACCCAGATAAGGAACACATCTGAGTGCGTGGGGCCCCCGATAGGCTTCCCAGAGGTCTTCCCATAAGGTCTGGGGTGAAGGCACTTCCTGGAAGCAGGGAGTTGGGGCTGATGGGGCCACAGCACTGCAGGTGTGCAGGGTGGGACGTGTGGGACGGCCAGGTGGCTGTGATAGGTGCTGGAGGAGCAGAGCCTGACGGGTTCTGCGTCCTGGGTGCTGGGCTAAGTCATAATCCAGATGGCATGTCATCCTAACTAGTGATGGAGTCCTGGAGGAGTCTCATGGGTTGTCTGAGTTTTAGGAAGGTCACTCTGACTGTAAAGCAGAGGTCGGGCTGGCCTCCCAGGCGGGTGAGATGCTTGGTGCATGGGAGGGGTGGAAAGAGGTATGCACAGGGTGCATCATAGGATTAGGCAGCCGGTTATGGAAGCAGTGGAGAAGGCAGATTTCAGATTTCTGGGTTAGGTCAAGGAAGCACCGTGAGGCACAGATCAAGAAAAGCTGGAAATGATTGTTGGGGAAGCCAATCATGCTAGCAACAGCAGTCGTGTGCTTGGTAATTAACTGTCTGCTCCCTCTCCCTGTGTGTGTCTGCACATTCCTGGTTACTCCGCGTACAACCTTTGAATCAGGTAGTGCCCTCTCGATTTTCAGTTTCTGGGTAAAATGCCTGATTTACAGCAAATGCTACCCGGCTCAGATTCCCCGACTAAAAGGCAGAGCTCACAGCCTTTGCCCTGTCCTTTCCTAGTTTAGAACTTGTTAGGTTTGAGGAGTCTTATGTTAAGTTTCCAAATGCAGAAGGTGAGGAGGAAGGGAAGGAAAATGAATATATAGCTATTTGGGGTTCACCAAGTAGCTGTGATTGGAGAGAATTTGTACTACGCTTTGACTCCTTGATCGTGAGCTGGGATATTTTTAAAAGTTTTACTCTTGGCTGGGGCAGCCATTCAGGGACTTTTATGGCCATGCACTTTCTTTTCATCCAGTATTTTGCCTTGTTCTGTATAACTCATTTCATCCTGACTACACTCATATCAATATATTCACAGATAATCACGTTTGTGGCTTTTGAATTTTAAGCATATATGATGATAACCATTTGGAAGTTTTTTTTTTTTTTTTTGTAAAGAGGGAAGAGAAAAGGGTGTCTTATTGTGACTGGAAAGATAGTATCAAATTCAGTAGTTTTTTTTTGAGACAGTGTCTCACTATGTAGCCCAGGCTGGCCTCAAATTCTCAGCCATCTTCCCGCCTCAGCCTCCCATGTGCTGGGATTACAGGCATGTGCCACCATCCCCAGTGTTTTCCTGTATTTACTCTAAAAATTTAAACAGCTATCTGCTCTGCTAAATGCTAACCCCCTCATTGCTTTTTGGGGGCAATCACTCAGGTTACATTTGGTTTGAGGAATTAGGAGTATATGTATCTTTTCGGCAACACAGTAACCCATTCTTTTGCTACTATTTTCTCTTTTGGATTCTGATAGGTCACAGTGCCTGCCCTAGGGAAGCAGTACATGAACAGCTGCTCCAGATGTGACAAAGGATGCCGCTGTGGGCGAGTTTTGATGGGCAGTGTCCTCATTCTATAGCATGTTTTACTCTTCTGCAACCCTAGAAAACATGGTATCAGAAGCAAACACCGTGTGAAAGAGGAAGGTCCTTTCCATCTTCATGACTAACACACGTTAAGATGAACATCTGTCCTACAGAACACTCCGCTGTCTGTTCCCCAAGAAGCAAGCACTTGTTTCAAACTCATCTGAAATAAAAAAAACCAAAATAGACCTGAACGGACATGAGAATGTTCGTTAGTGGCAGAAGAGTAAAAAAATGGCAGTTTATTCAGTTATTTGCCACTTGTTTTATCCTGAGCCTCATGATTTTTTGGGGACCTATTGATAATCACATCGTGAGCCATATGAAGTCCTACTCTTACAGATACCTCATCAACAGCTACGACTTTGTGAATAACACCTTGTCTGTCAAGCGCAGTTGGGAGGGGCCTCACTACCCCTACCTGATCAACCACAGGGACAAGTGTAGGGCTCAAAACGTCCTCCTCCTGCTGTTCGTGAAAACCGCCCCCGAGAACTACAACCGGCGCTCTGCGATCAGAAAAACTTGGGGCAATGAAAAATACGTGCAGTCTCAACTTAATGCCAACATCAAAACGCTATTCGCTTTAGGAGCCCCCCATCCCCTGCAGGGAGAGGAAGTGCAGAGGAAACTGATCTGGGAAGATCAGACGTATGGTGACCTCATTCAGCAGGACTTTATTGATTCTTTCTACAATCTTACTCTTAAGTTACTCCTGCAGTTCAGTTGGGCGAATACCTTTTGTCCCCATGCCAAATTCCTGATGACTGCTGACGATGACATATTCATTCACATGCCAAATCTTGTTGAATACCTTCAAGGTTTAGAACAAATTGGTGTCCAAGACTTTTGGGTCGGTCGTGTTCACCGTGGTTCCCCTCCCGTCCGAGACAGAAGCAGCAAGTACTACGTCTCCTATGAAATGTACCAGTGGCCCGCCTACCCGGACTACACGGCTGGCGCTGCCTATGTCATCTCCAGTGATGTGGCTGCCAAGGTCTACGAGGCGTCACAGACGCTGAATTCTAGCCTGTACATCGATGATGTGTTCATGGGCCTGTGCGCTAATAAGATGGGGATAGTACCACAGCATCATGTATTTTTTTCTGGGGAAGGTAAAGCCCCTTATCACCCTTGCATCTATGAAAAGATGATGACATCTCATGGACATGTGCAAGATCTTTATGACCTGTGGAGGAACGCCACCGATCCTACAGTCAAAAATGTGTCAAGAGGGTTTTTTGGTCAAATATACTGCAGGTTAATGAAGATCTCTCTCCTCTGCAAGCTGACCTACATGGACACGTATCCTTGCAGGGCTGCATTTGTCTGACAGTACTTGAATGTGTATTTTCACTGTCTCTGAGCCAAACCTGGATGGAAAACCTTTAGCTGTCTGTGCCCCCTACCAAGCGAATATGAAAAGATACTCAAAGAAATATTTCGAACACCTAGTCTATCAGAATATTTCTTTGATTGTAGAAGCTGTTCATATGCCTTCTTGACTTCCTGGCCCAACCACGTTAGAAGGAATTCATATTTCGAAGTGGTTTATATTATGGATGAAAACCAAACTAATGTGAAATTCACATTCTCCTTCAATGCCACATGAGTTTGCAGTGTAGAGAGTTCTTAAGAAGTCTTGATGTTAAGTAACAGCTTTTGGAAATACCAAGTGATATTAATTTCAAAGAAATTTATGTATTATTAGATCAGGTATTCCCATTTATTTTTGCTAAAGAGCACTTGATGGTGAGGGCAGGAAAATGTTGGCATAGGAGAAAATATATAAATCTGGTCAAAAAAAAATCTACTTTTAAGAAGGGATATAGAACAAATGTCTACAACTTTATAAACAACTGAGTCACTAAATGGTTACATCCGTGTAGCTATTTACCTAGTTAGCATCATTTAAAATGTATTTATATCATTCTTTCAAATCTTAATGTGAAAGTTGAGAAGTCGTTAGCTCTGCCCTAACTGGTACTTTGTGTGGCGCCCCTCCCCGCCCCGCAATGTTAGAAAATGACACAAACATGGGCAGTTTGTTGCCAATAGGGTCCCTCTTTAAGGAGAAATTATTAATTCCAATAAGGTCTTTTGAACTTAGTGATTTTTCAACTTGTTTTTATGGATTGAGTATTGGTCTGTATTTAAGATAGTTATTTGAAATTTTTTTTTTTGCAAAGAGGAATAGAATAGTAGAAGAGATTTCAGAAGGAAGGATAAAACGTTAAGGGCTTCTTTTCTCTGTAACTTATGAAGTACAATCTTAGTGTCTGCATTGTACTGATGACCAAAATTCACCCCTCAGTCCCCAAAATCATCTCATAAACTGCAGTATTTTGTTCTAAGTTCAGTTTTAAATTAAGAGCACTGACCATCAAATTGGAGTGGTGTTATCTAAAACAATCAATTCTGTTCTTGAATAACTGTCCAAGCTGGTTTTTATCTTTTAAGTATTTCACACTTCAAAGCAAAATAGAAGTGATTGGGAAGTTGCCAGGGGGAGATGGAAAGCATTTTATGTGTAAAGCTGCATACTGTGTATTAGATGTGGCTGAGATCTAATAAATTAAGTTACATTTATGGTACAAGGTAGGAGAAGAATGTGGCTGTGAGTGATGTAAAACACTCAGCCCCTACCACAGAAAGAATGAGGTGATGTGTTTTGCTAGGAAGTTTCTAAAAAGGCCCAAATAGTGACTTCAGCAAAAACAACTGAACTGATTAGAAACCTTTGGCCACAGAAACACTGTTCTGGACAACTCAGATGACTTGTTTAATACGAGGATGTCAGACATGGGCGGAACAGAACTGAAAAGAATTTCTGTGTATACACAACTGGATGATGATATATTTCTTAGGTAGACTTTCAATGTTTACAACAATTTTTTTTTCTGTTTTGAAATTGGAAGTTTGTTTACATCACTTAGATAATTTAGTAGGTTTTTTGTTTTGTTTTGTGTTTTTGGTACCGGGAATCAAACTCAGAACCTTGCACTTGCCGGGCAGGTGCTTATGCTGCTGAGCTAAATCCCTGGCCTAGATAACTTAGTATTTTTAACTTGTGTCAAGACCACAGTGTTGAATCCCCTAGGTTGTAGTTACTGTATTTCAGGGTAGATTCAGAGTTCTAGACATCGCAGTTTAAAATTTCTGACCAATCTTAACCACCATAGAGAACAAAAGCACAATTTGACAAAGCAGCATTATAATTAATTTTATTAGTTGATTCTTTAATAACTACTTGTCCTTGGCCCATATGTGCCCCATGTAGCTGTACTTGGAACTGTTAAAATTTGCCATTTGTTCGAAGACGTCAGTATCTCTCTGACTATTGAAGTGATCCTGTTTACAGCAAAACTTTTGTGGAACAGTAATTTATTTGTTGAAAGAACTCTCTCAAACTCTTTTATTTTTGCCTATAATACAGTAGAATAAATTTAAATTGGAAGGAAACATGAAGGCACTTCCATTTTTTTGTAAGAAGGAAGTTGCTTGATAATTCCTTTGCTGGACTTTGAGGACTGAGAGGTGTGTTTGTAAATAGAAACGTTCTAACCTTTTTAAAAGGAAGGAAAAAAATTCTTGGTGCTCCAGTGCAGGACTGTCTTTTTAAAAAATGTCAACAAAGGGAAAATAAACTACTAGCCTAGATGGTCACTTGGGTAAAAGATGACTGTACACAGTGTTATTGTTTAAAAAAAAAAAAAACAAACCTTTTACCTCTGGGTTGGTTTGCATTCTTTTTTCCATATTATTAATTTTATACCAGAATGTTGAATATTTATACTATTTTAGTTTTGCTCTTTATGACAAAATAATTAGTGTGTTTAAAAAATCTATGATTTCCAATAAACAACTTGAAAACTGTCAGCACATGTGTACTTAGACTTCCGTGGACACCGAGTCCGTCCAGGCTGCCCTTTTCGTTCGATGTTAGGGAGGTGTGCACTCACAGGCTCAGTCCTCTTGCTCCTGCGCCCAGGGTGGAGCACATCATGTCCTCTGCGTTACAGAGCCTCCCGTGATGCCTCTGTTTGTTAAAATGACTTATACAGGAATGTCTAGGTGGAGGAATGTCTTTTCCTAAAAACCCGTTCAGGTAGGGATGCAGTAGGAATGTGCATCCGAGTGCCTTGGACACCATTTAAGAGGCTGCGATTTCCTTTTGGTTCATAGCACTCTTTGGTTGGTTGAAAGCAGATTCAAAGTCAGCCTTCGCCTCTTAGAGTCAGGAAAGCTTTCCTGCCTACTCGGGTGTTTGGCACTTTCATATATTTGCACGTGGAATGCATTTAACCTGCTTTTTGCCTGATTCCTGCTCTGTGGGTTTGTACATTTGTGATTCAATCCACAGATTTTATTAAAACCAGGGAGCATCGAGTGACTCAGCTGTGGAACTTTGCACTTGCCCAGCATGTGTGCAGTTGGGCTGACAGTGATGACTGACCATTTGGAAGATTTATCCTGATCTGTGTTTGGGGGCTTTGCTTGAACCCCACAGCTGCCATGAGGATGAGACCAGCGAGCTCTGGGCACGCAGGGTTATCTGTTAATGCATGGATGGCAGCGGTCTCCCTGACGTTCTTCCTCTGGGGCAGGTCTGCAGCAGGCCAGACCTCGCCCAGCTTTCTCTACAGTATTCCTCTGCCCCAGCGCAGAGGCGCCACACTGCCTGCAGCATGAAAGTTTCTATAGGCTTTTGGGGCCCTTTTCTCCACCCCTCCAGGTGGTTTTTCCCATGCCACTGTTTTTCACCTCAGATTTTCTTCATGACCTGGTTACGTTGCTTCCTGTTGCCAGGAACGCTGTTTCTCCAGAACCTGTTGAAACCTTGGAAATCCAACTCTCTCCTTGCCCTCTCAGTGTGTGTCTCTTACCATCCTCCTCAAGTTTATAATTAATCATGGACTACCCGCTAATTATTTCCTCATTATAAAATCAGTCCTGAAGGTAGAGATTCAGCACATTCTATCACATAGTGCTCAAAATCATCCTTTTCAAATAATAAGATACAATATTTTTTTCCCAAATACTAAGATAATGTTTTTCCGGTCAGCCATCCAACTATGAAAAGAGATAAATTATTCAGAACCCTTAATGGACATTCATGACATTTTATCTACACTACTTAAAAGTTTATAATTTATTCAGCAAAATCTAAATTCTTCTCTGTGCTAAGCATATTGTACTTATCAACTGTAGCTCCAGTGAATTTATATCAGTTATAAACTCAAACCTATAGAACTCAAGTTGTAAAATTAAGATTAAACAAGGAAAAAAACATATGAATTTTTGCAACAAAGATGGGTAATTGTGAAGTATTTAACATGATAGAACAATAGTCTATCTTAACAATAGTCTTAACAATAGTCTATCTTAACAATAGTCTATCTTAACAATAGTAAAACAATAGTCTTACAGATTCATCTGTCTTTGCATAAGTTGTCTGGCTAATTTTGCTTATATTTTTGTTGCATTAGTTAAATGGTGTAAATTTTTCCCTGGTCTTTTTCTTTTTTGAGGGGGGTAGTACTTGGGATTGAACTCATGACCTTGTGCTTGCCAGACAGGTGCTTACACTGCTGAGCTAAATCTCCAGCTTGCCTGGGTCCCTGGTCCTTTTCTTTCTTTCTTTCTTTCTTTCTTTCTTTTTTGGTCTTTTTCTTTTTTATCGGTACCGGGGATCGAACTCACAACTGCCTGCTTGCAAGGTAGGTGCTTATGCCGCTGAGCTAAATCCCCAGCCCCTTCTTTCTTTTTTTAAGAGTAGAAAAATTTATTGGAGAAAAGAAATGGGGATTAGGAATAGACCCTTAGAGACAGGAGGGGTCTCGAATGGTTTGCCCTCCCTGGTGTTTTTCATTAGAAGTGTGATTTAGTGGCCTGATATAAATTACTGTGACCATTCATCAACTGACTTTAAGGGACACATTTAACTAAGACTTTTGTAATTGTAATAATAGGTGTGGGTGTCAGTAACAGAGATCACCCCACTGAGCACCCTCACATTCATGAAGGGAACATTTTAATGAGTAAGAGCCCACATCTGTTTCCTTGAGTGTAATGAATATCATTCCTTAAAGTGAATGAATATAAAGTAGTTAATTAAAATGATAATTGGCTCTGATCGAGAGGCAAGTCCTTAGAGATGTTTGTTCATCATTCTACTGGGATTTTTTGGAGGCCCCCGAGAGCCAGTTATGAAAGACCCTCCCTGGGGATAAAAAAGTAGCTCACAAGTCAGATGGCATAAATAGGGGTTATAGTCTTTGAATTCTGAATACAAAGATTTTTTAAAAAAATGAATTTCCCCTTATGCTTTTGGTCTTTACCTTCCTAATTTAGGGCATCTGAGTTAGGCAGCCTTCACTATATGCAAACACCTTCCTGCAGACTAAAAATAGCTTCGAATTTGTATAACTTGTGCTTTTGGAGGAACCAAGAACTTTTAAAAAAGTGTTTAAACCCCTAGTTTAGTCAGTGTTACTTGTCACTCAATATTCCCCGGACCCTCCATTTTTAAAAACATCCTTTTCCCGTTCTCTTGCTTGTTGCTTTTGTGGGATGCGGGTAGGGTACACAGCGAGGGTTACTCTACGAACAAATACTGTGGTTTTTATCGGGGGAAGATTGGGAATAAGGTTTAAACCGGGAATTGCCTCCCTCCCACGCATGCGTCTCAAGAGCGCCCCCACCTCCGTCCGGGTCTGCTGTCTTACCTGTCCGGGGACAGGGCCAGGTCTTCTCTGCCCAGCTGCTGCAGCTCAGAGCTCCCCCCATCATTCCGATTCCTTTCAAGTGTCTCTTCATTCTGAAGTGAAAGAAATTTTGGTGAGGGTTTATGTTTGGGTGGGCTTCTTACCGGATCATTTTTCTTTTCCCCCAATGTCTGTGTTTGGTTTGGGTGGTGATTGTCCAGGGAAGCAGCATGTTGGTTTCTGGTCCTGGCTTTCTAGGGGTTTCTCCAGCCGCTGTGAGGGCCTGGTGCAGCTCCCCCTTCAGCTGTCTCCAGGAATGGCAAATCCTCCTCCAAAGCGGGAGTCCTGCCCTCACCTTGAAGGGCTACCACATCACTCTTGTCTCCTCTACTGATTCAGAGAAACCAAGGTTTGAGCTGGAAGGTACAACAGAAGGATCCCTGGATTCAGCATCTCCTTCTCTTGTCGCTGTTGTAAGAAATCCAGGTCTAGAGAAGGCCAGGGGAACGAGGGTGAAGTGAGAGCAGGGCTGGCTTTCGCTGGTGGCTACAAGTCAGGTTTGTCCCTCCACCCCTTTCAGCAGCCTGATCCTTTTGCAGAGGGGAGGAATGGTCATCGGCATGGAGCTGAAGGCGGCCCTGCTTGCTGGCAAGCTCACTTGACCTACCTGCCTTCATTTCCTTACCTATGACATGGCTCGGTGGCATTGTCCACCCAAGGTCAAGTCACAAGGTGTGGAAATGCTGAATATAGTACCTGCTGACTGGCAGGAAGGGCTCACATACCAGCCAATTATCTACTTGCTCTTTATTAGTTAATTATTTTATGGCAATCTCCTTGTTATCAGTGTCCTAGATATTCATTTTATTATTAAAACTGTACCTCCTCCTCTGTTTTCTTCTCCTTTTTGTTTTTTTGGTACCAGGGGTTGAACTCACAACCTCGCACTTGCCAGGCAGGTGCTTACACTGCTGAACTAAATCCCTGACCTCTTCTTTTTTAAGACAGGATCTTACTAAGTTGCTCAGGCTGGCCTTGAACTTCCAATGTCCTTATCTCATCTTCCCTGCATAGGGCCAAGATTATATATATATATATATATATATATATATATATATAGTAGTGAGGATCAAACTCACGACCTTGAGCTTGCTAGGCAGGAGCTTGTGCTGCTGAGCTAAACCCTTGGCCCAAGATTATATTTTCTTAACAGTAAACTCGATCTTGCCTGTTTTGGATAAATGCCTAGGGTTATTCTCAAAAAATCCTGCCTATTTAATTTTTAAGGTACTACTAGTACAGATTCATGTTCATGTGACATACGTTAAATGCTTAGAATGTTTCAAGGTGCTACATTTATCCCTGGATAGTATAAGAGAATAATCAAAGTGAATGTTGATGAAATCCATCACACTGTGGTGTGTGTATGTGTGTGTTTTTTGTAGTACAAAGATCTACCTCTAAAAACCAAACTACAATCCTTATGGAGCCAATCTTTGAAATTGTTTTGTTCATGTTTTTAGCACATAACAAATGCCTATAATTTAGATATTTTTGGACTCAGAAACCCAATTTCTGTGAAGTACTTATTTTCCTATTTACGTATGGCCAACTTAAGTTCCTAAGAGGCAGAATAAATAATTTACTCAGGATCAAAGTACTTATCGATGAGCACTGAGGCAGTGAATAGGCCTTGCTTCTGAAGAGCATTTTAATTCATTGCATCTTAAAATTTTTTTCACTTTTAGATCAGTTACAGGGCTCTAAGTGACAGACCATGACATTGACCTCTCCATATGTGTATGGTGCCTTTTAGCAAATGTTTACGTGGTGAACCATCAGTGTTTCACCCGGTGTGTTCCCTCCTAGCTCTTCTGAGCCTCTCCCCTCCTTCTGCCCCCAGCCCCCGGCTACATGCTGTGGACAGGTTCCCGGCGTGGCCGTCTCTACAGTCACGCACTCCTTACTGCTGGTGTCTCCTATGGTGCAGACACACCCGATGGGCTCGGCTCTTTCAACAGTTTTAACCACACATTATGGGAACATCATTTTAGCTTCATAGATAAAGTGATGGTTCCGTCTCAGTTTGTTGTCTTACATTCTCACCAAAGGGAACGGGGATTCAGAAACGTTTTGTGAAGGGCATTTTAATAAGCAGATATAAGTCTAGTTCCTGCCAGTCAGCAGGAACTAGAACTGGAAGCTGAAACGTGAGCCTCTCCCAGGCTGAGGAGCTGGCTCTGTGCAAAACAGGCAGTGCAAAGTCCACTGCCTAGTTGCTGCCGATGCGATGAGAGCCTCTCCCTGCCTGGCCAAGCACAACGCTCACCACGGGCGCGGGCATTTAAAGGTGTTCACTGGGCGAAGAAAACTGGACCTTTAATCCTTCTGTGGTTTTTGCCCCAAATCTGGTACCCTAACCAGAAAGCAAACTAACAGTTGAAGAATTACCTGGGATACTGGTTTTGCCGACCGGGCTCTAAAGTAAAGCACCAATTTTATGTTACAAATTTTTATATATTTCTTTCAAACAGGATGTCATTCCAGTAAGAGTAAATCAAGTTCCCTCTGAAATTCCATCTCTACCTCTGAGCACTAAAACATGTTCATGAGCCAATGCATGGAGGCAAACACCAGCCTCGGGGCTCAACTCCAGACCAGTCCAGCTTTTCCAGCACATTATTAAAGTTCTTTCTTCATAGTCTCTATATAAAACCGGGCTGATTAGCACAGCAGCTAAGGTTCCAGTGCGTCTTCTTTTGGGTTCTGCATTTTTTTTGTGCATGCCTGAATTACCCACTGGACTCTGAACTCCAGTCTCTGTTCTCTCCGGGTCCCCAACATGCAATACAAGGTTTTCATAAAGAGGAACCACTCTCCTCCCACTGTGAAACTGGCTTCTGCTTTACAGAGCAAACTGGATTCTTTCCAACTCCATTGATCTTTGGTTTGTGGGGCAGACTCTTGAGTCTCTGGTTTCATCATTACGTAGTGGTGGACGGGTACAAGAACAAAGCATAGCTTTGGACTCTGTCACCTTTTACACTGAACAATGACCAATCTGCAATTTACAAAGACTTTACCAGGCACAAAAGCTTGTCCGGGCCTATGGAAACACGTTGGCTGGGACTGATTGCATCAACCCACGTTCTCGCTTCTGCCTGTGTGTCAGACAGTAGGGACAGGGGCACAGCAGACGCTTCTTCCCACCGAACCTGTGGGATTACAACATCACAGTGCTGCTGCAGGCGCAGCAGAAGGGTCCTCGGATGGTGTCGGACTTCCATAAAAGCCTGCGGGGAGGTCGCTGCGCTGCACGCTGAGGCTTTGTCACCGGTTTAGGCAGGGTAGTTGCATTGTTTGTACTGGAATGACTTTCAAAGTCTGACCACAGCCCGATACATTTATACCATCTCACACAAACACGCACACAGAAAACTTTCCATTATGTAACTGATGTGATAGACTCTATTATTGTTTTCATTGTTGTTCTGATTATTACATTTATTATTACCGTTATTAGTGGTGCTGGGGATTGAAGCTATGGCCTTGCATACGCCAGCTGTGCCACTGAGCCACACTCCCAGCCCTGCTGCACTTTATTTGAAATTATGTTCTTCCCTGTTCATTCTTTTTTATTCATCTGTCTTTCAATGCTACTAACCCCTGGAAGCTGGGTTCACAATCACCATATGAGCGTTAATTTAAAACCTCTTACAGAGTGAAAAGAACACAGACATGAATGAGACAGGCAGCCCTCCATGGAAATTCTTGGCTTTTATTTTAAAATGTCCTTGGATTTCTGTGTCTTCACTATCTCGTGTAAAACAGGAATAGTAATATCTAGGTCAAGGGATTGATCCAGTGCTTAGCGATCTAGCAGAGAGAGAAAGATGCTAGCTGTGACCCTCAGTCTCTTTGGGCATCTAGTTTTTTCTGCACAAAATGAGAGAGATGTGTGGTTTAGCTACGAAACACCTCTCTGCGTATGAAACAAAATACAAGGCTGAGTACCATCACTTCTGATGTGGAGATGAAAGCTGACATTGTATGTGGAGTACTTCGGGGGAAAATTCTAAATCACCTTTCATGAAAGCTCGGGCAGGAAGAGGATGCACTCAGGTAAAAGCTCCTTATCAAATAGCAGAATCAGAAAACTGACCACAGACTGGGGAGCAGGGGCTGCTTTATTTCCTTGTGAGCATCCCTTACGCTCTGCTCCTCCCAGAATCATGAAGTGATACCCTTTAAAGGCCAGATACCTGCAGCTTCTCACCAAGGCCCATCTTGTTTTCCCTTAAGCCACCTGGAGGAGGTTCCAGGAGGGGACAGTGCAGGGAGAGGCTGGAGGAGGAGCTGCTTCATAAATTACACAATCTGGAGGCCAGTCCCGCGGGACAGCCCCCTTTTTTTTATGGTTATTTTGTCCTTAGGAAAAGGGCCTGGCCCTGAAGACAGGCGGCTGGGGGCTGCTTTGGGCTCAACTGTCAATCTCAAGCCACCTCCACCCCAGCCCCTTTCGCCTTTCCCAGTGACACCAACTTAATTATGGGTTTTCTAGCAGCGCCCTGCGCACTGGACCTCTGAAGTCTTCTCAGCAAACTCACAGTATCTAATTATTCTTTGTTATTTATAAAGAAATATGTACCTTTGAAAGTGGGAGTAAGTGGAGCTAATTCCTAGCCTGAAGGAATTTGTAAGACAAAAACAAAAACTCTCACTTTGGCTGGGGATGTAGCTCAGTGGCACAGCACCTGCGTGGCAAGCACAAGGCCCTGAGGTCAATTCCTGGTACAAAAACAAAACAAACCTTTACTTCAACTTTTTGGAAGAACATATAAATCTTTTAAAATGTGTACTTGGAAAAGTATCAATAGCTAATTTGAGTAAAAATTTTTTTTCCTAAAAAGAGAGAGCAACCTTTGAATGAAACCAAGTTGTCTCCCGAAGTTAAATGACTTTACTGTATGATTTTAGGAGTGTGTGGGAAGAAACATCAATTCCAGCTCTTTTAAAGCAATGACTTCTGCTAATTTAAGATGAAGGTATTATTTGCCATATTATCATGTTTCTTAAAAAAGAGCAGCAATTAGACCTAATTTTGAGAGCGGAG